TCTCCTGCAAGCATTTATCAATTTCCTCTCAAAATATTGTGATTGAATTCTTTAATGCAGGAATTGTAGTTAAACATTTCACATTCTAATAACTGAGTTTATGCTCCGCTATTACAAATTCATCTTCACAGAATTGATCTGTTTTCTATTTATCAAATGTCTCCATAATTTTGACTATTCTTTTTGTTTATTTTAAATCTTTGAGCTCCAGTGATTATAATCAATGTTTTTCCAAGTATCTCATCAGTCAGCTTAACCATACTTTATAACCTATTTGAATCAATTCCGGATAAAGCATGATCTTTTGCATCAAATTAGGATATGAATTTATAGGGCAACAGCTAAATCCAATCATTTTCTATGTGTAAAGAATTAACTGTTGTACTAAAGATGTGCTTTACACCCAAATAATGATTTTTGATCCAATTTTGATCCAATCTAATTGAACTTGTGAAAACAGAATTTTTAAACATAAACGAATATGACTTGATCTCACAGCTAAGATGGTTGCCTCATTTGCATTACTGAAATTTCCACATTATATCCCCAGTAAGGTAGGGATGTCATGTCTGCAGAAATGCATCAAAAGTGGTAAACCCAGAGAAAAATAGATGAACCATGTTGACACAATGTCCAGGTACTCAGTTGCTTGGAGACCAAACATCAAACCTAATCACCTGAACATTGGACCCTGGCTAAGAAGAGGGAGTTCCCTTACATGAGCTAATCAAGATACAATTAGAAAACATGATCACATTTGAATTACTAGTCAGCTGGAGACAGTGGTTACATGACAAGTGGACCCTTTTTTATGTTGTTAACACATGTTTCCTCAACAGCACTGAACAAGCAGCTGAAAAGCTGAGAGAGAGAGACTCTTCTTCCCTGGCTCTTTCCACTCAACATACAAGCTTTCAGGGCCTCGTCATCTATTGTATGACTCTCTAAGTCCATGTGCCGTAGACCAAGATTTAAAAATATCACAACTCAATAGCTACGTCTCGAGAAGAATAACTTTGTTTATGTTTGACTAACTTTCTGGAGTTTATGAGGAGGAGACAAAGCATTTTGATGAGGTTAATGCTGCACTGTGCAAACACTTCCAAAATATTTTTGATACAGTGCCACGTAACAGATTCGTAAGCAAAGTTAGAACTCCTGGAATAAAAGAGACAGTAGTAACATGGATACAAAATAGGTTGAGTGATAGAAAGGAGCATAATGGTTAAGATATAACACAGCGTGGAGGTGGAGGAATTTGGCAGGCCAGGCAGCAACAGAGGAGCAGAAAAATTGACATTTTGCGTCAGGACACTTGATCAGACGTGGGGAGGGGGAAGGGACCTGGGAAATAAACAGAGGGAGGAGGGGTGGGGCTGAGGGAAGGTAGGTGGGATGGTGTTAGGTGAATGCAGGTAGGGAGTGGTTGGGATTGGTCAGTGAGGTGGGAGGAGTGGATAGGTGGGAGAGAAGATGTACAGGTTGTGTCAGGTCAAGAAGGCGGGGATGAAAGGGAGGGTTGGATGTGGGCTGAGGCCAGGGTGGGGAGATTTTAAAACTGGTGAATTCTATGTTTAGACTCCTGAGGCAGAATATGAGGTGTTACTCCTCCAGTTTGTATGTGGTATCATTGTGGTACTGGAGAAGGCCCAGGATGGGCATGTCACTCAGGGAGTGGGAGGGGGTGCTAAAATCGTTGGCGACTGGAAGGTGTTATCGTTTGTCATGTACAGAGTGCAGATGCTCTACGAAATGGTCTCCGAGTCTACGCTTGGTCTCACCAGAGAGCAGGCCACATCGGGAGCAATGGATACAGTAGACCAAGTTGGCGGATGTACAGGTGAACCCCTGTGTGATATGAAGGGTTTGCTTTGGGCCTTGGTGAGAGAGGAGGTGTAGGGGCAGGTGTAGTACTTCCTGAGGTTGTAGGAAAGGTGCCGGGTGTGGTGGGGCTAGTGGGGAGTGTGGAGTGGACAAGGGAGTCACAGAGGAAGCAGTCCCTACGAAAGGCCAATAAGGGTGGGGAGGGAAATATCTCCTTGGTCGTGAGGTCGGATTGTAGGTGCCAGAAGTGGCAGAGGATGATGCGCTGGATGTGGGGGTTGGGGGGGTGGTATGTGAGGACCAGAGGGATTCTGTCCTTGTTTTTGTTGGGGGGAGGGGGTTTGAGGGCAGAAGTGTGGGAAATGGAAGAGATGCATTTGAGGACATTTTTGATCACCTGAAGGGGGCAGTTGCGGTCCTAGAAATAGGAGGACATCCGGGATTTCTGGGATTGGAACATTCCATCTGGGGAGCAGATGCGGCAGAGGTGGAGGGATTTGGAGTAGGGGATCGCATTCTTGCAGGAGGGTGGGTGATTGGAGGTGTAGTCTGGGTAGCTATGGGAGTCGGTGGGCATGCTTGAAATAGATGTCAGTATTAAGACGGTTACCAGAGATGGAGAGGTTTAGGAAGGGGAGGGAGGTATCGGCGATGATCCAGGTGAACTTGTGGTTGAGATGAAAAGTGTTAGCAAAGTTGATGAACTGTTCAAGCTCCTCGTGGGAGCACGAGGCAGTGCCAATATAGAGAATTTAGCAGAAGAAGAGGTGGGGGATAGTGCCAGTGTAACAATGGAAAAGGAACTGTTCCAAATATCCTACAAAGAGGCAGGCATAGCTTGGGCCCACGCGAGTGCCCATGGCCACCCCTTCAGTCTGTAGGAAGTGGGAGAAGTTGAAGGAGAAGTTGTTAAGGGTAAGGACAAGTTCTGTCAAGCGGATAAGGGTGTCAGTGGAGGGGGATTGGTTGGGCCTGCGGGAGACGAAGAAGCGGAGGGCTTTTAGGCCATCTGAGTGCATGATACAAGAGTACAGGGACTGGATGTCTATCGTGAAGATGAGGTGTTGAGGGCTGGGGAATTGGAAGTCTTGGAGGAGATGGAGGGCGTGAGTGGTGTCCTGGACGTAGGTGGGGAGTTCCCGGACCAGGGAGAAAAGACAGAGTCAAGGTCTAAACATGGAATTCACCAGTTTTAAAATCTGTCCACCCCGGCTTCATCCCATGACCAGCCCTCCCTCTCATCCCCGCCTCCTTGACCTGACACAACCTGTCCATCTTCTCTCCCATCTATTGAGCCCACCCATCCCACTGACCAATCCCCACTACTTCCTACCTGCATACACCCATCACCATCCCACCTACCTTCCCCCCCCCCCCCCCCCCCTCTATTTATTTCTCAGCTCCCTTCCCCCTCCCCCATTTCTGAAGAAGGGTCCTGACCTGAAACGTCAATTTCCCTGCTCCTCTGATGCTGCCTGGCCTGCTGTGTTCCTCCAGCTCCACACTGTATTGTCTCTGACTCCAGCATCTGCAGTTCTTGCTATCTCCTAATGGTTAAGATATATTTTTCAGACTGAAGGAAGGTTTGTAGTGGATTTCCCTTGGGGTCAATATCGGGAGACTTACTTTTCTCAATATCTGTAAATGATCTAGATATTGGTGTAGAGGGGGCAATTTCAAAGTTTGTGGATCATGTATAAAACTTGGAAAAATTGTAAACTGTGAGGAGGACAGTGTAGGATGTCAATAGGACATTGACAAGTTTGTTGAGTGGGCAAATAAGTGGAAAATGAAGTTCAGAGCAATGAAATGTGAAGAAATACATATATGTAGAAAGAGCCTGGAGAGCAAGTACATAATAAAGGTTATGTAGGAGCAGAGGGACCCCAATGTATATGTGTATAAGTCATTACAGGTGATCGGACAGGTGGAAAGTACAGTTAATATTGAGTACAATATTCTAAGTTTCATTAATAGGAACATACAATACAAAAGCAAAGAGCTTATGCTGAACTTGTGTGAAACAATTGTTAGACTTCAGCTGGTGTCACACTTCAGGAAGGATGCGAAAACATTGGAGAGGTTGCAGAAGAGGTTTACAAGAATGATTGGAGTGATATAAAAATCAGCTATTTGCATAGTTTGGAAATGATGGGACTCTTTTCTTTGGAGAGAAGGCTATGAGAAGATTTCATAGATGTAAAAATCGTGAGGAGTTTGGGCAGAGTAGTTAGGGTAGTAGATATTCCTACTTGTAATAGCATTGAGAATGAGAGGTAACAGATCGAAAGTAATTTGCAAAAGAATACGTATGAGAAAAACATTTTCATAAAGCGAGTACTTAAGGTCTGCACTGCACTGCCTGGATGTGTGGTGGAGGCAGGTTCAACTGAGACATACAAAAGGCCATTAGATGTTCATTTAAGCAGAAACAATATACAGGATAAGGGAAGAAGGTGAGAAAAATGGCACTAAGTGTGAATGAATGAGGCATTCAAGAGACCACTGGATGATTATTTGGAAAAAGATAATGTGCAAGGAGGCAGGGAGAGAAAGCAGGAGATTGGTATGAGGTAATGATGCACAGTTAATGAGCAGGAACAGACACGATGGACTGAATGGCCACCTCCTGCACTGTAACACTTCTTTGTTTCAGTGAAGTGAATTGCTCAGAGAACAACCAGTGCAGATACAATGGACAGAATGGCCTCCCTCTGCACTGTAATGATTCTATGATTCTGCGAAGTTGGTACATTTTTTACTATTTTTCTTAGATTGTTTTAAGTATTAACGAAACAAACCTCTTTCTTTGTTCAATTCAACAGTTAAACACTCATTGAATTGACAAGCATATAGTTTTCAAACAGGAAAACCTATTGCATGAAACAGGAAGTGAGCAAAGAGGGGAGTTATTTGGCCACTGCTCACCTGATCATTTGACTGTACTTCACCAAATAATAAATCTTTTGTGTTTATCAGAAAATTTGTTTTTTTAAAGGAAGCAATAATAAGGCACTTCCAATCATTTATGTTCAACTATGTAAATTACCCTGACATTTATGCTGTGCAAGCGTGCTTTATAATTAGCATTTTGTCTAATCATTATAATTGAAATAATGCCATTTTGCAAACTCTATCTATTTAGAAAGCTTTAATTTTATTATTCTGCTTTGCAGGAATGACATGTCAAGCGAGGACCTCATACACAGAAGATGAAGTTCTTTGGGGCCATAGATTCCTTCCCGTCATGTCACTAGAAGAAGGTTTTTTCCGTGTAGATTATTCTCAATTCCATTCCACATTTGAGGTCCCCACGTCTCCCTATAGTGTAAAGGAACAAGATGAGAAGCTGTCGCTTACATCACTTTGTCCCACCCCCTGTATCAGCAACAGCAAGAACAGAAGGGAGAGAATTTTCTCCTTGGACTGCATCGATACCCTAGCAGAAAAGGGCAACAAATTACCTGTCAAACTTCAGAAAATGAGCACCGGTAAAGATGAGGTGCAGAGGAAAGTTATAAGGATGACTGCCGACATAGGAGAGAAAACTTGCAGCACTGGTGATCTGCCTCTAAAACTGCAGAGGTTAAGCTCTAACCCCAGCAATTTTGGTGCTGAAGAAAGACTCCCACTGAAGAGTTTCAAAGTCAATTCAGAATCCATCACTCAATCGACAGGAGATCTTCCACAGAGGGAACATGGCCTGCAACTTGCAGGGCCACGAATGGAGGACAATTTACCTGCCAAACTGAGGAAAATGAATTCTGGTCGCCTCACTTAGAAAGAGACAATATCAAATACAGCATGTTTCTTTTTAAATACCTGTAAAAATCTGAGACTTAAGACCTTCAAGTTGAGTGTATTGGGCTAGTTAGAGTATACATTTTCTGTTATGTTGGGGTGACTACAATGCTTTAGTTGCTTAGTTCCTAAGTTGAGGGGTAAGATGGCCCAAGTCAAAGTAAAAACCAAAAAGGCATCTCTTGTATTTCTAGAAAGGCCCTGTCAAACTCAATTGAAATAATTTAACAGCAAGTCAATTTTGAAAAGGCCTGAGTACAGGTCTTTTCCTGGATCCCTTGGTATAGTTTGATTAGTAAATTATTTGCCTACTTTCAGTCAGTTATTACTGATTTGGGACCTGCCAGCTACAGTTAATGTGTGTTCTATATTGAATTGGCCCATTAACTAACGTAAGCCTAACGTTGACTTTAGTGTCCCTAAGATAAAGAAGAGAGAGAGAGAGCAACCAGTTCTATACACTGACTCCAAGTGATGAATGTTAATATCCAAAATGGATAGATTGGAGTCTGGTCAGGCATTAAAAATGAAACCTTACTGAACATGCTGTGACCCATATAGATGTAGGTTTAACATAGGCAGAATGAAGTCTGTTTGAGTTTGCAGCCTTTCCACTCCTAGGAGACAGGTTGCTTAGCTAAATATTTTAATGGAGCTTGCAGCCGCTGATTTAAACTGCTTTGAAGGTTTAGAAATGATTGGCTAAGTTGATGAGGTCTCAGGAAATTGGATAGCTGTAGGGACATTGATACAGTTTTGACATGAATGTAATTTGCCTTTACAGAAATGCAAACATAAATTGCTAGAGGAACTCAGCAAGTCTGGCAGTCTGTGGAGAGAAACAGATTCATTCTTTCAGTCTGACGTGACTTTTCTTTATGGCACTGATTGTGAGGCTGGAGAAGCAGAACTGTATCCCACCCTTATTCCCTGCTCTGCTAAGTGCCTGCATCCCATCAGATATCTCCCATACACATCTCTTAGTTGGAGTTGAACACTCTCACCCTCAGGTCACAGATGAGATTTGCACCCCGCACTCCCATCTGACCTATGTTTCAGAGTCCTCCCAACTCAACTTGAAAGCTAGGCTGTCACTCTGGGTCAGAAATCTAAAAGGCATAAGTTGTGGAGCTGGGCCTTACGGACTTTCCATCTGAAATTCGTCCCCTTTTAATTTTCGTCTAAGATAGAATGAAAAGAAGCGCCAATTGTTAAGTTTTAAAATCAACATTGCCTCCGATAACAAACTCCCATCTTGTGGTCCTAACTAGTTTCTCTAAAGCAGACTGCTAATTTATTATCAGAAGTGAATTAGTAAAGAAACATCTCAATTCCAATCTATAGTCTAATAAAACTTTGACAAATGCTGAAGTAAACAAACATCCTTGGGTGTTATTCCGAACTTTTGTAAAGTATTGGTTAGGCTCAAACTATGAGTGTAAGCCATGACTATCCTGGCCGTTTCTGGGTTCCAACGTTTCAGATGGAGGTCAAGATTTTATTAGGAGAATTATTCATAGGGAACCAAGTATGAAGGCCTTGAAATTTCATCTGGAGTGACTAAAAATAAGAAAGCAGACAAGATTGAGGAAAGATTTTAAAATCAGAAAGGGATTTGAGTGAATGAGGAGGAATAGTTTCCAGTGGCTAAATGGTGACTCGAGGATTCAGATTGAAGTGAAACCAGTGGCAGGCAACCCAAGCAAGTTTTTTTTAAGGAATAAGTTCTTTTGATCAGGTTAGCAGTGCCCAGAAAGGAAGTGGAAGCAGATTCAACAATTCCTGTTGAAAGGGAATTCGATAATTACCTGAAGAAGGAAATTTGTAGGTCACTCTGGTAGGTTTTTCAAAGAGCTGATACTAACATGACGAGAAGAATTACCTCCTTCTGTGTTATACCATTCTAGAGATTGGTGCTGCTTGTGTGAATGGTAGATGATGGTATCAGGTTGCACCTAATAAGCAAAGAAAGAGCTGACCAGCATTTATTTTGCCATACAAGATGGCTGCCTACAAGTATTAGGCCCAAGAAGCACCTAAAACTGTAAATCAGTGCTGCAGCAAAGGAGGGAGAGAAAATTGGAGGAAAATAATTTTACATACTTTTTCCTGACATGAAAAACTGATTTTAGTGAAACAATACATTCTAAATCAGGAAGCTAGCCGTGTATTTAGGCTACAAGATAATGAATCTATTACTTTGAGATTGAATTTATATTGATTCCATCCTTTCAGTGTAGCTGATTGTAACTATGGAATTTTGATCTCTGAAAAGCACCGTAATTAAGTCCCATCTGGTCTCCAGCAACTCCAGCCATCTAAATGTCCTATTGACACATTACAAAATATGGAGACTTCCTGAATTAAACAAACACCCAAATATGCTGATATCAAGATTACTTTGAACTCTGTAAAGTAGTGGCTAGATCCCAGCTGGAAGATTCTGCCCATTCCTGGGTCAGCATCATTTTCAGGAGACTACCTTTAACTGTGGGGAGAGGACAGTCTTTCAGGGTAGACTGCTGGATCCTTTGACACAACTAGTAAATAACAAATTGCTTTCAAGGGAAGTTCTACTCTGAAACTGCTTGCATTGTGTAATTTTCTTCTCCACTGTCTCCTTCTTTTGTCTCTGTCTTTCTCTACATTTACTGATGTGTCTCTTGCAGTCTCTCATTACAGCCTCTCTCTCTCCTCCTTCAGTTTCACTGCTCTTTATATTCAGTTCCTTGGGTGAAAGTTTGATTAAGGCAGCTAAGAGGTGCAGAGATTATGATTCCTGATTAACCTGCATTCATTTGTGGTGAGTGTTAGGACGTTCAGAAAACAAGTGCTCATCTTTCAAAAGGGATCAGGAAACACTCCAATCAAAAGCTAGAAGGCAATGGAAATCGTTATCAATGAACAAAATGCAGTTCCAAAAGATATAGACTTAATGCAAGAAGATACTTATTAGTGTCACATGATTGATCAATATCAGTTAATATATTATGCATACAAATCCTCCCTTCACATTCTCTATTAAGTATGACTTATGTCTAATATTCAGAGCCACAACTCATCCTCACCTCTACAACCTAGCACCGAGATCACTTTGGTAATGCACAATGCCAACCATTCAAGTATTCCAGAACATTATCTAAACAAATTAACACATCAACAGGTACATTCTTTTATCTCTTCCAGAACAATGTGTTACACAATCATAGGTAACAGCAACAAACTGGCTGGGGGATGGGCTTGGTACATTGCTGGCACTCCCCATGATGGAGATGATGCTGGTTATCATTAATGTTGCCACAACTGAGGCAGTGGTCTCTGGCAGTGCTGAAGCCATAGAAGTGATGGAATGTTCCTACTAATCCTTTTCCTCACATTCTACTCTGCTCGTCCTCTCACCATACCTTCTGATAACAGCTCAGATACTCCAACTTTAGAAACCAGCATAGAGATGGAATTCAAAAGTGATCTGTAGGTAGAGCAGTCAAGAAAATTACTGCAGGTTCTAGCTTTGTTAAGGGTGAGGGAGATGTGAGTTTGCTTCCAACAGTAAGCTTGACCTGATGTGGCAATGCTTATATATTTCCATAACACTAGAAACTGGGCATGAATAATGTGTTATTGAAGAACTGAATAGATGTTTATTACAACAAACTATTATTTACAAGCATTCCATTCCTTAGGCACATAAGTACCTGGGCTAAAATTACACTTTTAGTTTACAACTGAAACATATCCTCCCAGTAGATTGTCATGCTTCAAATGATCTGAGGTAAGATGGAGTATGAACTCATTGTGCCCTTGGGTCATATAGTATGATGCAATGATAGTATCATAAGATTGACTCTTAAAATCATACAGATATATTGACCCTGAGTTATAATACAACAGAAAAAGCATGGTTTCTGCTGCAGGGAATAACAATGAGGATTTCAATAGGGGAATGTTTAGAAAAAGAGGACAAGAATCGAGAAGAAGCTGAAGGCATGACTCTGTTCATTAATCATGGTGTTCGCACAATAGACAGGGATGAGCTAAGTTCAGTAAACCAGAAAATAGAAGTGGTTTGGGTTGAGAAGAAAAATTATTAAAGCAAGAAGTCACTTGCTGCAGTAATGTATAAGCTCCCTAACAGTAGCAACATGGAGGATGGAGTATAATGGAACAAATAATGAGAGAGCTTGTCAGAAAGGTACGGCAATAATCCTGGTGGGTGTTTAATCCACATACGGACTGGAAAAGTTAGATGGGTAAGGGTAACCTAGACGAGGGACTCATAGAATGCTTTCAGGATAGTTTCTTAGAACAGCACATTCTAGGGCAACCAGAGATCAGGCTACTCTGGTCGACATATTGTGCAACAATCAATTAATGATTTTATAGTTAAGGTATCCTTGGATCCAGTGATTATACTGTTGAGTTTGTGTGACAAAGGAGTGGGTCCAAGCTATGACTTTACACTTAAACATGGGCAGTTATGAGGGCATGAAGGCAGACCAAATTAAATTGAACTGGTAACTTAGGGGTTATTTCAGAATAACACAAAAGAAGCATTCCACTACGAAAGAAAAATTCCAAGTGGAGAACCCACTATCTGCCGTTAACTAAAAAAGTTAAAATATCAGACTTGAAGAGAAACCATTTAGCTGCACAAAAATGAGTGTTGGGGGTGTGGGGGGGAGCGGAGAGTAAGTATATTGAGAGAAAATAAAAACTGTAAAAGATTAATTAGGAGCGAAAATATTTGGAGTATGAGAGAAAGCTAGCCAGAAATATAACAGGTTTCTATAGGCATTTTAAAAGGAAAGAGTTAACATGGTGAGTATTGGTCCTATAGAAAGTGATTCAGGGGAATGAAAGATAAGGAGGTGGCAAATAAGCTGACCAGCTACTTGACATCAGTTTTCACTATAGAAGATACAATGAACATCCCTGAAATGGCTGTAATTTTCAGCAAATGAAAGCAAGAAAGAAGTCAAATAAATGTATAATTTACAATCACCAGGAGAGTGGTATTAAGCCAACTGGTGGAGCTGTCCACTGACAAATGCCCATGTCCTGATTGACTTCATGCTATGGTCTTAAAAAGTGTCTCGTGACATAATTGATGCCTTGGTTCTAATTTTCCAAAGTTCCCTACATTTGG